AGGCGCAAGACTGGTAGGCACCAATAGTTTTAACATATAATTTTTCACACATAATTTTTGTTTTTTTTTATAGGGCAGCATGGTGTCACGGTGGTTAGCACTGTTGCCTCACAGCAAGAAGGCCCTGAGTTCAAATCCACCATCAGACTGGGGTCTTCCTGTTTGGAGTTTGCGTGGGTTCTCTCCAGGTACTCTGGTTTCCTCCCATAGTCCAAAGACATGCAGTTAATGGGGTTGGGTTAACTCTGAATTGTGAACAGGTGTGAGTGCGAATGGTTGTCTGTCTCTATGTGTTAGCCCTGCGACAGACTGGCAACCTGTCCAGGGTGTACCCCGCCTATCACCCTAAGACAGCTGGAATATATACGAAGGCTGTGCTAAGATCAAGCAAAATGATCACAGAACAATTTCCTGCATCAGAGGCCATTAACAGATCCTTATAGAACCTTAAGAGAGCGGTCTCAGTGGAGTGCTGCTTTTGAAAAGCAGACTGAAAAGGATCAAAAATCTGTAATCTGCATAGTACGGACCTGGTACCCAGGTACCATGACCTAATGGAAAACTCTGAAAATGTTGGCGAAGATGGCAAAGTTTTCTATTGAAGGCTGTCCACAGTGGGACTCCTGATTAGGGAGGAAAAAGGAAGGTATCAAGAAATGAGTAGCGATGCTACTGACTATAACATTAGGTTTGATAGCAGTGTGGCAAATTTCTGAAATAAAGGACACAGGGTGGGATGCATTTGGACATCAGGCAATGACCCATTTTCATTCTTTCATTTAAAATACTATTCACCGACACAGCCTCTCCATCTGCACACCAAGCTAACACTCGAACACATAGCACAAACGTCACAAAAGTAATGACCTTAAACATAACTAATGCTGAAAAGATGGAGACACGATACAAGGGCTGCCACAAATTGTTATTTTGATAGTCGACTACTGACAGATTATTTTTGTGATTGTTTGACTAATCAGATCACGCATCCATTGGACGTAAAATGTACAGCTTATTGCACTAGCATGCATCTGCTCTTATATAACTATCATTAGCTTACAGCTAGTGTTTAAGGTATGTGCTAACTAAAAATAAAGACAAGATGATAGTTTATTAAACTTTTAATGAAATTAGCAGATTGTCCCAGTTGAGTTTAATAAATTCAGCCGTCTGCTCCTTGCTATCTAAAATATAACAGGACACTTGAGTAAATTCTTTACCATCTCACACTTTTGTTTAATCAGTTTTCTGTTTGACGTTTATTCAGCTGTGTGGAAACTATAACTTTATTCTCAGCCAAAATGATTTACTCACAAACAAATAAAATACTGAAAAAAGCCAAACAATAACATTTTTAAGTTATCTAAGTGACCTATATGTCATGTTTAACCTGAGTAGCGAAAGACCGCGGGGGTCTGAAAACGATGTGCCGGGAGTTCGCTGTTCTCACCTGCTCTAGTGAGCCTTGAACCCCCGACTAGGTTTCAAGCTGGTGGGTAACAGACATCTCCAAAAACGTCACAGCACTTTTGCAAATATGGGACGTCTTGATAAATCGAGCTGATATTTTAAGGTTACACAGTTACATTCTCGCCTGAAAATATCTTAAAAGTTTATTTTGTGACCCAGAAAGAATAATATTAAAACTAAGTAGCTGCCGCCATTGTTGTAAACTGGAATTGGCTGGGTCGTGCTATGAATTCTGGATACACCCAACCCATCCTTCACATCTAGGGAAAAGGAGGACACATTTGTCCAGCCGCATTTGGGGGAGTCGTTGAATTTGGACAGCCTGCGTTGCGTCGCTGTAACGTAATCTGTCTACAAATGCGACCTCTGAAGGATGTGGCCCCTAAATTTGGACACAGCTACGATACCTGAGATTGCTGCTGCTGCTTCTTCTTCTTCAGTCAGTGCGCCCCAGGGCAGCTGTGGCTACAATGTAGCTTGCCATCACCAGTGTGTGAATCTATGTGAGAATGGGTGAATGACTGAATGTAGTGTAAAGCGCTCTGGGGTCCTTAGGGACTAAGTAAAGCGCTATACAAATACAGGCCATTTACCATTCTTTGGTGTTTAACAGCAGCTGGCATCCTTGTACATGCATTACTGCCATCTTCTGTTTCAGTCCATTATTACACCCTTAAATCCTAGTACTTATTCCCGCATCTTTCAGGACGCGTGGACTATTAAATTAGTCGTCGACGATCTCGACGTAATCGTGACTAGTTGACTTATCGTGGCAGCCCTCGTGTTACAAAAATAAACTGTGTGTGTGTTTTGGTCTCTCTCCCAAGCTAATGTTTCTAGGTGTGTGGTGTAGGCTCCTGCTATGCCAACTCGGGCCACATCACCATTTCAACTGACATCAGGTAAGCAGCTTAGCATGTATGCTGAAGTTGTTTAGAAGCACTTCACTGCTCCTGCTCCTGATTTCTACTGATATTTGAGGCTAGTTCTTTCATGTTTATCCCTAACAACACTGCACCTGATGGCACTGTGATTCAAGCATTAAAGTAGCTCATCACCCTTGCTGACGAATTGGCCTAGCACTCAGGGACAAGTGATCCATTCAAACCTTTCATGGAACAGTGATTTGGTAGATGGAGTGGTAGTGTGTCTTTTCTTTCAATCATGTTGCAGTGGCCTGTCTGTGGATGCTGCTTCATTGCGTGCATGAGAAAATTTCTTACACTAAAAATTTTTACACTGCTCTGTCCAGGACCATCTATCTGTATCGCTAAATAGAGCAGAAAGAGACCTAACAAGACGACCTACAGCCCATGATGACTCTATGGACAGTACTTAAGTTAAATACAATAATGACTATGTTGAAAACCTAGACAGGCGAGACATAAGCCTGATATATTAGGAGAAAAACAGTACACTATTTATTTGTAAATATTATATTAGAGTGTAGCATAAACACAAGGGATTTGATAGAAAAATTATTAAAGTTATGCAACACGTTCTGAAATTAAAGCTACGCAACTCTTTACAGTAAGCTGAGGAAATGTATGTTCATTGTGTATGCTTTTTCCTCCTTGCAAATAAAATAAAGGCGTTGAAACTCGCTACTGTGTCTCACTTAGCTAGCTAGTTAAGTGATACACTAGCTAATCAGAAAGAATTTATTTATCCCCTAAGAACGTTATTTACGGATTACCTTACAAACACACATCAGACAGAGAGCATATTTCTCTAGAGAGCATATTTCTCCTGTTTTGGCTTCCCTTCACTGGCTTCCTGTTAAATCCAGAATTGAATTCAAAATCCTGCTCCTCACATACAAGGTCTTAAATAATTAGGCCCCATCTTATCTTAATGACCTTGTAGTACCATATCACCCTATTAGAGCACTTTGCTCTCGCTCTGCAGGCCTACTTGTTGTTCCTAGAGTATTTAAAAGTAGAATAGGAGGGAGAGCCTTCAGTTTTCAGGCCCCTCTTCTGTGGAACCAGCTTCCAGTTTGGATTCGGGAGACAGACACTATCTCTACTTTTAAGATTAGGCTTAACTTTACGTCTGCTAGGTGGAGGAGGTAGGGTTAATTACCTGTACTGCAGCCACACACCAGGGGGCGATAGAGACGTTTTGGCTTTATTTTGGGGTCTGTTATGTCGTTTATGATTTCTACAGTGGTTGGTGGTAAACATTAGTGATGTGACATTCTGTATCGAGGCTTCAGAGCTTGTGTCGAGTAATTGAGGGGGCGTTTCCACGATGCGCGTAAAGAGGGTTGCTTCATTTATGGGAGGAGCTGAAAATGATGACGTCCGAAGCCTCGCTGCCCGGCTGTACCATGTGACTGGTTCATGAAGTGGTTTGAACTTTGCCACGAGCTATGACAGCGATATAAACCTCTCAGACTTCATTCAAAATGTGGGTGTTTGATGGAGAGTTGCGGTTAGTGAGAGTTTGGAGAGAGTTTGGAGGTTTAGGAGAGTGAGGAGAGAAAGTCAGGAGAGAATGGAGCCAGCTAAGAAGAGGAGGATGTCCTCTGTGTGGGAACATTTTGATCTTATTCCTCCCAACAAGGTATGGAAATTTCTACGGAAGATGTATTTTCATAATACTGATGGTGCAATACAATTTATGTTAAGCTGTCTTGACTTTTGTACAAGGTGAAGTGTTTGCTATGTGCCAGGGAGCTGGGATATAACAACACCTCATCCATGCTCAGGCACTACAGAGCTTTGCATGAGAATAAGGGGAACACCGATTGTGGAGCAAGACCAGGTGAGCCATCAAATGCCATGATAATATAGCATGCCGTAATGTTACTAAATGATATAACAATATTATACAACTGTAATACGTTACGTGTGATATTTATATTTGTGCTTTGTTTTTATTGTCTTTCCTCAGGAGAACAATCTCAAATAGATGACCTGGTTAGCATGGTGATTGAGGACTCCCAGCCTGGAGGACAAAGGATTTAAAAGATTTGTTAAATCATTAAATGTTCTATGTTCTCCCCACTAAAAAAGTCATAAAAGAAGTGAAAATTTAGTTTTTACAGAATAAAATGTGAACAGGCAGGACTGTAGCTGTCCATACCTCAACGTTACAAAAGCACAATCACTGTCCACACCCCAACCACACCTCACCTCACAGTAAATGATCATTTCCATTTTAAGCATTTCCAAATAATCATTTTCCATACTGCCAGTATAAATATACACAGTATACTGCCATCACTACAATATACATGTTTTACACGCTCCTTTTGTTGTTGACATTTACAGGCTGTGTGCAAAAGGCCACACTCTTCAAATTCATGCCAATTAATATTTTTACGTCCAGTAGATGTCCTACTAGAGAAAATGAAGCTTCAAGACGCTTTGCGCTGGGGTGAACCAATTGGATGAATCTGCCCATCACTAGTAAACATACCCCTGACCAACTTTGTTTGCTACTCCGTGAGCAAATCAGTATCGAGGGGCGTAAGAGGGGCGGGACCATCGCAGGCAAGGTCCAAGAAGAAATGTTCTTTTCTGGAGTCAGGATAAAGAGTTTTATTCCGAATAGTGTGTGGTCTAAACGCTGAGCTGTCGAGATGGCTGACAACAGAGATAAAGCTACCGACCAAATGAAGACATGGAAGGCGAATAGGGGCTCTCAGGTCTATACATTCGGTTTGATCGATTTTTTTTTGGTTTTGCGCGGTGATGAATTGGAAATGGGCGATTTAAGCTAGCTTTTCGAGAGACCTATCGTTCAGTAGACGATTATATTCAGACATATAACTTTGTTTTGTAAAGGGCTTACTTGCTAGCATTACTGTTTCATTGTTTTTAGCCAACGTTCTTCAAAGAAATCGAGTAGGTGACTACACATCTGAGACATTTTGGGCACTAAAAAAACAAACACGCGAACCAGCCGTGAAAGAGATGTCGTCTGAACAGCACATAGTAATTGTTATGATAGTAAGATAATAGTAAGATAGACACATGCCAAACTGCACCGTTGTATACACGTGTTACTTTTTATGCTTAACACAGTTTGCATTTTTTAACTCCTCATTCAAAATCGCCATCATGTGTTGTTAGTTTGATTAATTAATTCAAATTCAAATTCAAATTTTTATTTGTCACGTACACAGTCATACACCGTACGATATGTAGTGAAATGCTTGGACAACTGCTCGTGACCTAAAGAGAACAAAAAAGGAAAAGGCTATGAATAAGATAGGAAATAAATATGAAAAATTAAAAAGGGTAAATTTAACTAGGAAGGAATAAAATATAAATTAAGGTTAAAAATGAAATAACTGTACAACACACTGGGAAAGAATAAGATAAAATATATAAATTAAATTGAAAATAAAATAACTGTACAACAAAATACACAATATAGAACTATCCGGTTGTTCAGTGATGACGCGACGGATCCTACTTCCGGGTCTAAAGTAGTCTGCGTTTAATATCCGGTTGTTCAGTGATGACGCGACGGATCCTACTTCCGGGTCTAAAGTAGTCTGCGTTTAATATGGCTTTTGTGTTGTTAACATGTTTAATGTTATGTATTTTCTTCTATTTGATCTCAAAAAGCTCCTAAAACAGTCAGTGATCCCTGTTGATCTCCCTCGGCTTTTATTACCGCTAATCATTTATTTAAGCTCAGTTTTTAAAACCTTAGGATGTAACTACAGCCCAGCCCATGCAGTAGTATATGAATGACTAACCTCGTATTGTGGATGGATTATCTCAGTTGTTCTCCTGGCTGAAGTTTGGTCCTTTTACAGCATCCTGCCATGCGATTACATTTGTTCCTGACCACTGTTGAAAACAAGCAGTTCTTTGAATCTTTGGGCTGAAGGAAGGACAATACTCGGTGTATATATGCTCAATCAACAATCATTTATTTCGGTACAATTCACAATAAGAGCATTACAACGTCCGGACGGGAGAGATGCCTGCAGAGGTTCGACAGCATGTCTCAAAATGGTGGCAACTTTCACAGACTTTTATAGCTAATCCTGGCCCCCCTCCTTGTCATAAAAGCTGCATCTTCACATGTTTTTCTAATTCTTAGTGAGCCTGGCTCCTGACCTTGCCTCCCTGTCTTTCTGTGTGAAACTGGAAGGGGGGTGAAGAATGTGGTTTTATCTCTTCTGCCCAGACACCTAGTCTCCCTCTTATGGCCTTCTTCACATGATTCAGCAGTAAAACATTCTCAAGAAGACAGTGTCAGACATTCACAGCTGATCAAGGATACAGAGTAATGCACATTTTGTCTAATAAACTACAAATGATTATGTTTCTTTTATTCAAGAGTATAATAGAGACTAAACTACATAGATAGCACACCATTAGAACTAAAGGATAATATATGGCCTGCAGCTGTTAAGCTAATTTACTACCTTGACTACTGGTCATAAAATGGCATATGTTTAACTACTTGTCATTAACACCACCGAGAACACTCACGGTAACTTTTATCGAGTGGAAAAAAAGTTAGCTTGTTTATATTATGCTAACGTAGCTGTGTCGCTAGTGGTCACGCAGCACATCATTATATACCAGCTAGCCCAACTTCAGTAACCCTACAAACGTCACTGCTGTTTAGTTTTCTGTCTTCATTTATGCTGGAAGTGATAACAGAGCTGTACGTTTTAATTTGTTTCCAAAACCCCGCAGTCAGGACATGCTATATTGTATTTAGATAGAAGCTAGCGAGCTAACTCCCTACTAACTTCTAACTCCTTTAAATGTCATAAATTCCGTTTTCATGGATGCCTGGATGTTAAACTCAATTGTTACACCTGGTAGAGCAAAACACTGATCATTTTATTAAAGATGAAAGACTTTAGACAGTTTTTCAACTCTCAGTAATGCCATATGATCGTTTGATATATGGACCTGCAGCAGAGTTTAGACCCAGACACGGCTAGTGACGTCAGACTGAACAACCGGATATAAGAATGTATGAACAAAATACACAAGAAGTATAAATAAATATATACACAATAACAGCAGCAGTGATTTAAGTGATGAAGTGAAAACAATGTCCAGAATGTCCAGTGTGTGTGTAAGAACTATATGTGTGGGTCAGTACTGTGTGGTGGTGTGATTGTGATTGAGAGACCGTATCGCCTGCGGGAAGAAGCTCCTCCTCAGTCTCTCTGTGTTGGTCTTCAGGGAGCGGAATCGCTTCCCTGACCTCAACAGAGAGAACAGTCTGTTGTTGGGATGGCTGAGGTCCTTCACGATCTTCCTGGCCTTGGTCCAGCACCGCCTGCTGTAGATTGAGTGCAGGTCAGGGAGCTCGGAGCGGATGGTGCGCTCAGCTGACCGCACAACCCTCTGTAGAGCTCGTCTGTCCTGCATGGTGCTGTTCCCGAACCAGGTTAAGATGTTTCCCGTCAGGATGCTCTCTATGGTGCACGAGTAAAAGTTCCTGAGCACCTTGGAGGGCAGTTGGAAGTCTCTCAAGCGTCTGAGGTGGTAGAGACGCTGACGGGCCTTTTTCACCACGGAGTTGATGTGGCAGGACCATGACAGGTCCTGCGTGATGTGAACTCCGAGGTATTTGAAGCTGTCCACTCTCTCCACTGGGCACTCGTTGATGACAGGGGTCTGGTAGTTCCTCTCCTGCTTAGTGCTGAAGTCCACTATCAGCTCCTTTGTCTTATTGACGTTTAGAAGGAGGTTGTTCCTCTGGCACCAGTTCTCCAGATTCCTAATCTCCTTCAGGTAGGCCGTCTCGTTGTTATCAGAGATCAGGCCCACCACGACGGTGTCGTCAGCAAACTTGATGATGGTGGTGGAGCTGGTAGTGGCCACGCAGTCATATGTGTACAGAGAGTACAGCAGGGGGCTCAGAACACACCCCTGGGGGGCTCCAGTGCTGAGAGTGGTGGAGGCTGAGACATGTCCGCCCATCCTTACTGCCTGTGGTCTGCCAGTTAGGAAGTTAGTTAGGATTAATTAAGTAATTAACCAACTGCACCGATTTTGTTTCTTTACTGGAATCATCCGGTTAAAGTAGCAGAAAAGGACAGTTGTCATGTATTAGTGTTCTTGTAGTCTTTCTTCAAGATGTATATATTTAATGCTTTTTCTGTTTTTGTATGTGTGTTGTGTTGTTTGTGTGTTTTGTTTTTAATGTGTCTATTATTAGAAACCAGATGTGCTGACCACAGGCGGTGGCCATCCAGTGGGAGACAAATTGAACTTGCAGACTGCAGGGCCAAGAGGGCCGCTGCTGGTTCAAGATGTTGTCTTCACAGATGAGATGGCCCACTTTGACCGTGAGCGAATCCCAGAGAGAGTGGTCCATGCCAAAGGGGCAGGTAAGGCATTGTGCTGCTATCATGCACTCAACATTTTTTTGCTTTGAGGTCAGTAAGACAGCAAGACGTTTCATGCCCACACTTAGAACTAAGGATTGTGGCCAGATATACAATCACAATATATTTATTTCATTTTGATCCGATAATAATACTCAAATATGGAAAACAGTGGAGTGCCCGTGTCAGGGCCTGTACCTGCCTCAAGTGGACGAGTTTAAGTATCTTGGGGTCTTGTTCATGGGAGAGGGGAGCAAGAGCTCAGCAGACAGATTGGTGCTGCGGCTGCAGTAAAGTAGACCCTGTACCCATTCGTCGTGGTGAAGAGAGAGCTGTGCGTACCCGTTGAGCTGCGTTGTCACCCGCACCTATGGTCACGAGTTTTGAGTATTTGGACATTTAACATGAACTAGAATGCCACAAATACAGAGTTACTAAGTTGTGTATTCAGCTCCTGACACCAAAGATTGTCGGTGTTTAAAAGGTATTAACAGCAGCTATGTGGTGCAGTTATTTCTGAGATAAAGCAGTGGCCAAGAATCAAGAATTGTATTCTGGTGCAGGCAGATGGCTACAAATGACTGCATTAAAGTACAAAGTTAAACAAAACAACCAATAAAGTGGTCTAAAAGGAAATGTGGATCCTGCTTATTTGTGGATTAACTCTGAACAATTGTTAATCTTTACAGGCTTTACAGATCAGGGTTTCAGACTTTGGACAGACATTGAACGAGTTGTTTGTTGGCCTACGAGCAAACTAAGACCCAAACAACTTGGGTCTTATATTTGTCCTCATGATAAATAAAGTAAATACAAGAACTCGAAATTTGTGAAGCTTATATTAGCAGACATGTCTTTTAAAATCTGTATTTATTTTTATTTTTTTCTCCATTATTCAGGGGCATTTGGCTACTTTGAGGTCACTCATGACATCACTCGCTACTGCAAAGCCAAAGTGTTTGAGCATGTTGGCAAGACTACACCAATTGCTGTCCGCTTCTCCACTGTGGGTAAGAACGCCTTGTTCGCCTTGGTTACAGATTTGCTTAGTGGGGGGGAGGGGGGGGGGGTGTGTGTGTGTTTATTCTTCCCTGTTTACACAGTTTTTGATGTGATAGTTTGGACTTGCTGTTGAAATCTATAGTAGCACCACTGGACTGCACTCTAGGTCCTTACACTCATTGATATTTGCAGGTAGCAGGAGAGGGACAGCTCAGCTTCGGACAGTGCTGGGGTTTTAGCTAGCAGCTTAAATTGATGTAACTAAGAACCATCAGTGGCTTTCAGGCGATTCTTAATGGGGAAAAATGTTCCATATCCACAGAGCTCTGACATAGTGGCCTAAAGATTGTGTTGCTTTCCATGTTTTTGTGGCCTGGGGATCACCGAGGGTTTGCTACATCACAAATATACACCACTTCTTCACAGTCCTGCATCTGCTTTCAGCATATTTTATATTTCAATTAAAAAAACAATATATATTATTCAGAATTGTGCATGGGATGGAGTTTGCCTCAGAACTTTGACTATACTTATATTTAAACTGTCAGGACAGTTTAAATATGAAACAGGTATGTTTATAAATATACTCCTGGATTATAGGAGCCCTTAATCTTCTCACAACATGTTCATGTCTGCTGAAGACAGTTATGAAATGCTTTCATAGGAAAATAATATGGACAATTAAAACATTATATTGAATGTTTCAGAAAAATGCAACAATAGAAGATGATGATAATGATTTACTGCTGAAAAGGTTTTTGGTATGAGTTGCAAAACAAACTTTTAAATGCAAAGTGTGAGTAAAAGTGGTTATTTGTTAAAGGAGTGTTCATTGTAAGAAGCTGGCGATGTGATGGTAAGTGGTGTACTTACCATCTTGATTTGTGTGACACCGGAAGGGACATTAAAGGTAACTTTCAACAATGCTACTGGCTGTAAGGTGCAGATGGTACACACTGCCTCCAAATTTAGTTTAAAATAGTCAACCATATTACGTCATTGATTTTTGAGGAGTTGCTGTCTTTTGGTTTGTTTGTTTTTTAATATCCCAGCTGGAGAGGCTGGGTCTGCAGACACTGTGCGTGACCCTCGAGGTTTTGCAGTCAAGTTTTACACTGAAGATGGCAACTGGGACCTGACGGGCAACAATACCCCAATTTTCTTCATCAGGGATGCCATGCTGGTGAGTGGGTGTAGGGACGCATGTGTCTGGGCAGACCGTAATGGTTCAGATTTTTATAATTTTGTGTCAGAGAGTTGTAGTGTTACAGCAGTACTTTATTTTTTTAATTTATTTATTTTTTAACATGTAAATAATTCTTCCAGGAACAGATTGTAGATCTAGTTTCATAAGTGGATGATTTTTCAGTTTTGTATCTTGTTTTCTTTGTTTTTACATTAAATATCTAACATGGGGTGTTTACACTCTTAGTTTAACTCAAAGTTATAAAAGCCAAGCTTGTTATTCCTAATGTAAGATATTTAAGACCAGAGACGCATTCCTCACAACACCTGTGCTAATATCAGTCAAGTGTACATTGTCTTATATTAATGTCCCATCCTTAATTTCGTGCAGTTCCCATCCTTCGTCCATTCCCAGAAGCGCAATCCCCAAACCCACATGAAAGACCCTGACATGGTGTGGGACTTCTGGAGTTTGAGGCCCGAGAGTCTGCATCAGGTAGATGCTGCTGAGCCTGATACTGAAAAGTCTAGTATATTATGTCATGTCAGCTGAGGTGTTTCTAAAATACACATTTAGGATAAAGAATATTTTCAAGTAAGTAAGTCTTTCTGTGCACTGTTGCTTGCTGTCTTTATACTTGTAGTCATTATTGACAGAAACTCTTGTAGTTGTTTTCATGGTCTCGTCTTGTCTCCTGTGCAGGTGTCTTTCTTGTTCAGCGATCGAGGTTTGCCTGATGGCCACCGTCACATGAATGGCTACGGCTCTCACACCTTCAAACTGGTCAATGCCGATGGTGAACGTGTCTACTGCAAATTCCACTATAAGGTCTGCCTGAGGTCAGCTTTATTAGCTGTTATGTTGTGTGTTCTGCCATCTCTGACTTCATTTTTTTAAAATAAATTTTTTAGACGGATCAAGGAATAAAGAATTTGACGGTGGAAGAGGCAGACCGCCTGGCAGCCACCAACCCAGATTATGGAATTGCAGACCTGTTCAATGCTATTGCTAATGGAAACTACCCATCCTGGACCTTTTACATCCAGGTCATGACCTTTGAGCAGGCTGAGAAGTTCCGGTTCAACCCGTTTGATCTTACAAAGGTACTGCAGTTCTGCACAACAGAAAACATCCGAGTTATAAAGTAATACGTGACATAAATGTGCAGTGACTCGGTAACTTGTTTTCCAAAAACGTCCATATTATCACAGGTTGTCTCTAAATAATGACGTGCTCATTTGAAAATCACAGATGACTTTTGTGATTTGTAAATTTTATTCGCGGTGCAGGTTTGGTCACATAAAGAATACCCACTGATCCCTGTGGGCAAACTGGTTCTGAACAGGAACCCAGTCAACTACTTTGCAGAGGTGGAGCAGGCGGCCTTTGACCCAAGCAACATGCCACCAGGCATCGAGCCCAGCCCTGACAAGATGCTGCAGGTGACATTATGGCAGATTTGACAAGCTGGGGGGAATGAAGAAAAGCTAGGTTGGTATTGAGCTCTGTCCTCCATGTTCTTTGTCTAGGGTCGCCTCTTCTCCTACCCAGACACGCATCGTCACCGGCTGGGAGCAAACTACCTGCAGATCCCTGTCAACTGCCCCTTCAGGGCTCGTGTGGCCAACTACCAGCGTGATGGTCCGATGTGCATGCATGACAACCAAGGTGAGACGTGATCAGGTCTGGTACCTGTGTCTCAGAAATGAATCTTGAGTAATCCTGGAATTTTAATCCAGGTAGTGTTACAGTTTATTTATACTGAGTTCTTAACTGTTATTTTTAACTGTTATTATACACGTGACATATACACAAGTGCATGTCACCTTTGAAGCAGACGATCAGTGATGGTGTTTTAAAAAATCTTAGTGATCCAAAAACACCCTTATTATATAAAATAATTAGAAATAATTTTATAACATGGGCATTACATGCATAACCACAGTCATCTACATTGTGCACAAAATGTAAAAACTAGCGATAAAACATTAATTTTATCGCTACATTTCATGCATTGTACAGTGGTAGATGTGTGAATAACGTATGTCATCACTATAGTCACTGATTATGGTTTTCCACAAACATCTGGTCTTTGTTCATTTTTTTTCTTTTTCCTTCACTGCCTCACCAGTGTTTTTGTTTGACCACCAGGTGGCGCTCCAAACTACTACCCTAACAGCTTCAGTGCCCCAGAGACTCAGCCTCAGTTTATGGAGTCCAAGTTCCAAGTGTCTGCAGATGTTGCTCGTTACAACAGCTCAGATGAAGACAATGTCACACAGGTAATGATGATTTAACAGGATCTGTAGGCGTGTGACACAGAGTGTCTGAGGCCCAGGCAATTTCAGATTTGATAATATTAAAAAGCTGCATAAATCTGTATTTAATATGAACAGTGGATCGAATGATAAGATGAAATTGTTGCTCATTTTTTAAAGGGTAATGGAAATATGTAGATTTAGTTTTAGTGGCTTTTTCTTCCTGTTACTGCACTCTGGTTTCTGGTTTCTTCGGCCTCATCTTGGAAGGAACTATAGTCAAAGCTAATTCTTACTAGTAATAAACAGAAAGTGTAATAGGATGGGTTTTTTTATTTTTTTTTAAAAGACTTGAAATCAAGTTGATGCTTCTGAGTCAAAATCTGTTTCTGATTAGTTCCTTTTTCCTCTGGAGAATAAACCTGTGTTTTTTGCAGGTTCGCACCTTCTACACTCAGGTCCTGAATGAGGAGGAGCGACAGAGACTTTGCCAGAACTTGGCAGGGTTTCTAAAAGGAGCCCAGCTCTTCATCCAGAAACGCATGGTGAGTCCAAGCACTACAGTCTCTCACTTTGCTGTCGCTCATAGTTTGTGCTTTTTGGAATGTGAGGTTTCAGGAAAGATGTTGTGCTTATTGATAAATGTAATCTAAAACGCTACAATAGCATTTACTGAATGTTTATTCTTCATGGCTTATAGGAGATGGAGAGAATGTGTTTTTTAAAGAACCTGCTATCCTCCAGGACTGTAATGTTTTTCTTCTGTGTCTTGCAGGTCGAGAATTTGAAGGCTGTGCATCCAGACTATGGAAACAGAGTTGAGACTCTTCTCAAGAAGTACAATGCAGAGGCCAAGAAGGTATGTATGTATGTATATGTTTGTATATATGTGCTCCAATTTCCACTGGGACCACTGTTATCTTCACCCTTCACATTTTCTCGAGCTCTTCTCTGAGCCCTTGGTATTTCTCGAGCTTCTCGTGTTCATCCTGAACTATGGTGATGGCACTCACTAATCCCCGGCTTCCTCCACTTAGCATACAGTATCAGGGTGCTGGACTTGGGGTGAAACCCTCCATGCATGGTCAGGAGCTTCCTGGTCTTGATGTCAGTGGCTTCTATCTCCACCTTTGGCCAACTACTAGTATTTTTTTTTCTTTTTTACTTACTGTGCTAAGTGTCTTCTTTTTACTTTATATTTTATACTTTTACTACGTTTACTTGGTTATTATGTTACTATTCTTCATCTTGTTTTATTGCTGCTGGCCTCTGTGAGCCACCAAACAAATTTCGTTGTATAACTACAATGACAATAAAGTGCTTTAACTCTTATTATCCCAGCAGGGTACCTGATCACGGACAGGGCATAGGTGTTGTTCTTAACGTTCAGCTGACTCCTCATGACTTGCTTGACGCTCTAACCCATGTGCCTTTTCATGTTAGCTGGACAGGAGCTTCCATGTGGTGCTGAGCCTGGTTATTAGTTGGTAGTTGTATGGGACTGTTACCTTCTGGAGGTCCTTGGGGATCATCACTGTCCAGCCTTCGTTAGCTATTCTGGGTCTCTCTCGTTGACTAGTAGCTGGTTCATTTGTGCTGCTAGACACTCATTTAGTCGGCTTCTTTAGCCAGTAGGCATGAATCGTATCAGGGCTTGGTGTTGTCCAACTTTTCACACTGGAGTCTCTTTCTTGGATGTCTACCACCGTAATGAATACTGGACCCTGTTCAGGGAGGTTGCTGTAGTCTCTTAGATACACTGGTTACTGAGCATTGTTGTTATGTGTTGTGTCCTTCTCCTGTTGTTGTTTTTTTTTTTTGTTTTGTTTTTTGTATCTGATCTCATTTGTGTTTTGTTTGTTTACTCTGTCCCTTTTCAGGATGCCACTTTGCACGTTTACAGCCGTCCTGGAGCCTCAGCCATCACCGCCTCATCTAAGATGTGATGCCTTAAATTTCAAAAGATGCACCTGTGTGATAACTGTTAACTAAAATGGACCATTATTCGAGCCATCAGAAAAGGTTCAGAATACTAGCAGTCTAGTTTTTAAATGTTTTGGCTAATTGGTTTTTAATTTAGTTTTTCCAAGCAGTTTATTTCTAATAATTCTCAGCAGCACTTGCATTTTTCTTGTTATCTACAACATAACAAGGTTGAGATAAAGTCGCCATGATTCTACTGCAGTGTTTTTGAGCTTTGAATAGTTATTGTTAGATCAATCAAGTTTAATATGCATTTAAGAGCATTTTATTCCATTTAATTTTGATTTGATTGCATTAAGTTCATTTACTAAACCAGTCTTAGCTAATTCCTCAGAGTGTGTATACTACTAAACTACAATGCTTGAAAATTTAAAAAGCATTGTAACTTTAAAAGAAATCTGTTCACTTGTTAAAAATTATGTTTGGTATCTGCTTTAATGTCAAATCTCGGTTTAAGCTGGTAAAACATCTGGAGTTTTTATGAACCACAGGTTTGCTGCTGCTTTATTTCCCAGAATGAGCAATGATCTGTTGTGGTTACTAGTAGGGCTGTGCGATATGACCAAAATCTCATATTCCGATATAAGACATTTATCGTCCTGATAACGATATAAATCACAAACTATACATTTTTAGACATAAGTTTTAACGGCCACCATTTTCTTTCATAGTTTGAGTCTAAGGTTTATTTTTTTAGCGCTTGACGGCTCTTTTTTTGCTTCTCATCCATAAACTATCTGCAGACTCTTTCCCGTGATTCAGTTTATTTTGAAAAGTCTCAACAGGATGTTGAGCTTTATTGTGAAAGGTTTGTGTGGAAAACAAACAAGCGGACAGCGGAGCCACGCGATGGTTTTACCGTCATTGTTGCTAACGACAACACATAAAAGCAGGTGCTTGTCTTGTCCGTCCGTAGTGTGGTTATATTAAATATAAGAGAAAGAGAGAACTTTAAGAAATGGTTATATCTACTACAGTGACCATCAAAACGATGAAATAATATTGCTGTAAACAGTTTATTTTACGACACCACGAAACAAACGATAGCGTAATAGGAAACGATAGACGTTTTTATATCGTCATGTGATATATATCGTTATATTGAACAGCCCTAGTTACTACTTCTTCATATTTGGCTGAACCACTGGTGAATGTTATTGTGGTATGTGGCAATATGCTACCAAGAAGTAATATTAACTAAGATAGTCTTTTGTGGCTTTCATATGCAAAGCCTACAACTAACAATGGAGTTGAACTTTATCTGAGATCTATTCTGTGCCTGTAGTAAGGAATTTGTAATTAAAAGTTTATCATTTGTCTACTTTTGTCTTCCATTCTTTAAAGAAATGGCAAGTGATCGATTGATTTCCATGCTACCTTTAGTTGCAACCTTTAGTTGGGAAACAGTTATGTTCAGACTCATTATTTTACATTATCTCACATGGAGGTTGTGATGTTAGAAGGTAAATTACATTGTTCTGTACAGATAAAGCTGGAAAAGTCAATAACAAATTTCAATTCAATTTTTCAATTAGACAGCTTAGTGCAGGCTTCCAATCCCTTTATACAAGGCAGTGCATGAGATGCTGTAGCATTTAATCCAAACTGGCATTTCAATTTGGCTCTCATATCTTTGTCAGATTTGGTTACCACTGTCTCCCAAAGCCACCACTTGGTGTAAATTGACAAGACCTGTTAGCTGTTTGAGGTTCCAACTTAAAACATTAGTGTGTGAGGGTGTAAAGTAGTAACTTAGGTGGAGTGAGTGGGAGCGACACACATGAGCCAGCTACTAACTAGAAGAATCTCTGAATTTAAAAATGTGTGATTAAATAAAAGAATGTTATACTGGATGCATTGTGATTGACAAAGATTGACGTTTAAAGACAAAGTAAAAGAAAGTAATCCCATATAACTGTATTAAAAGGCATTATGCTAAATATAATGTTCTTGTGAGAAGGGGCTAATAAAATGTAATTGAAGAAAGATTCCATAAAGCGAATGAAACATGAAGTAAATGTTCATGTGTAATGGATATGGAAGCCCGTTTCCGCCACTAAGTATCCATAACTTGAAATTTCGAGTTTTTTTTTTTTTTTTTTTTTTTTTTTTTGAAATTTTGACTTATTAACTCGACATTTGGAGAAACATAACTCAAAATTTCAAGTTACTTTTCTCAAAATTTCTAGTTAATAACTCAAAACCGATCAACAAATTGGCGCTTTCGCGAGTACGTTTGCTGATAGTAACTTTAGAGAAAGAGAGAACTTTAAGAAATTAATATATCCACTACAGTGACCATCAAAACGATGAAAAAATATTGCTGTAAACAGTTTATTTTACGACACCACGGAACAAACGATAGCGTAATAGGAAATGATAGACGTTTTTATATCGTTATATTGAACAGCCCTAGTTACTACTTCCTCATAACCTCATAGCGTCCTCATAACGCCATCGGATTCAGCTAATAACACAAGGATTTCATCATTTTTGAAGTCACGCTGAAAATACTCAGCAATCTGTGCATTCATGACTGGATTTAATACTGGTAGCTTAGCTGTAGCATTTGTAGCTCAGGGCTTCAGCTTCCGGTTAACAAGGAAATGACGTCATTCACGTAGATTGGCAGCGCTAACTCAAAATTTCAAGTTACTTTTCCTCAAAATTTTGAGTTAATAAGTCGAAATTTTGAGAAAATAATTTTGACTTATTAGTCATCTAAAAGAGTTTTCCTAAAAAACGAATTAGGCAAACAAGCAAAGCAAAAGGGAGCAGAATTCAGGTTTTTGTGAAAGGCCAAAATCAGGCAGGAGGAAAACTGGGAAAAAAATGCTCCAAAGCTCAAAGCAAAAATCTGGCTTGGTCATAGTGGACAGTGGGATATGAAACATCAGATGCAGAAGTGATGCAGCAGTGGGAAGACAGGACAGATGTGAGGACCAGATAACAAAGCAAGCAGCAGCCATAGCTGTGTTAATGTAATGTAGAGAACACGTTGTGTTGTGTTCAGAGATGGGCAGTAATGCGTTACTGTAATCTGATTACTTTTTTCAAGTAACGAGTAAAGGGATTACTATTGCAAAAACGGTAATTAGATTACCGTTACTTTCCCGTAGTAACGCTGCGTTACTGCGTTACTAAAACCGTGATTTTTTTGCAGAATGTCTCATTCTGCAAATGACAGTGACGTAAGCGAGTGCGACGGTCGTAACAACAGCTGTGTGCAGATCAACAATGGATCACATATCGATTGTGGGAGAGAGTATGAGCGTGCAGCGTTTAAAGCGTGGAAGTACTGACCTTACTTTGAGTTTGATTCCATAAAAAGTGACAAAAACATTAGCGTCCATCGTGCGTGGGAAGAAAACTTATTTTTACAGCGAAAAAACCCCCCTAAACTTCCAAGCAAGCACCGAGTGCGCAATGACGTAATGGGAAACTCACAGAGAAACTCGCGGATTCTTCAACTGACCGCGGCACACCTGCACCAGGGTAAACCTCCGCCTACCGCAGTCCTGCTTTACAGGTGAAAATAGAGCAACAGGACCGCTGAGTCTTTGACTTTATTTATTTTCTGCTGTGTTTTACTTGCATCTATTTGAAAGAGTGAGTGTAAACACAAAAAATATTTTTATTTTATTTTATGTGCTGGAATGTGTAGACTAATTTATTCAAGTCAGAGAATGTTGCATATAATTAAATTTTTGCTTGATGCATAAAGTTAAAAGATTAAAACTGATAAAACAAGTGAAAAAAAAGAGACTTTTCCATTTGATTACATTTTGTATGATGGATTATGTAGAAAAAGTAGAATTGGGCTGAAAGATCTATCGCTTTATCACCTCTTCAGGTTGTAAATCGTGTTTTTAAAAAGTAACTAAGTAACTAAGTAATTAATTACTTTTGAAAATAAGTAATCAGTAAAGTAACGGGATTACTTTTTTGGGGAAGTAATCAGTAATTAGTTACTGATTACTTTTTTCAAGTAACTTGACCAACACTGGTTGTGCTGAGATGTTCCTCATTAGCTGGCTATAAAGTGTAAATGTGTGATAGGGTCTTTTTTGATTCATGTTTTTTGACTGCTAAAAGAGCGAGTTAGCTGGAGGACTGAAACTAAATGAAACATGAAAGCACAGCTAGTCAGATGGCTAATTAGCACTTAGTGCTGAGATGGTTGAACTTAAGATAAAATTTGCTTATTTTCAAGAGGGAATAACATGGCATTGGAAGCCTTCCTGCTCAGCGAGGGCAGGTTTGGATTACTTGAAATGTTTTTAAGATTTCCGACCTGTATGAATTTTAGAGCGAGACAGTGATACGCCCCTCCAGAGGAGACACTCGATCCTGCAGCTTGACAAACCAGTTCTTTCCTGTCCATTGGAAGAGCCCCTTTCATGTGCTTAAATGGACAGTCCCCTGAGAGCTGCAGTCGGAAGGTTGATTTCACATCTTTTACTGTCTTTAGTGTCTCCAATGGGCAAGTCTTTTTTTTTAAACAAGCAGTTACCACAACAGATGTACAATAATTATCTCACTCTTAAGAATAGTGCTTTAAAGTCATTGTGTCATTTGATGAGCAAGATAATACGATGACACATTCTGCACTGTTTTCTTTTTCTCAAATAACTTTTTTGTCATTTAATGGAGTACACAACTTCTGTTGGAGTGTAACATACACTTACCAGCCAGTTTAAACAGTAGATGTTTAACTGTATCTAATCAGCCAATCAGTGCATTTAGACACAGACAAGATGTCCTGCTGAAGTTCAAACTGAGCATCAGAATGGGGAAGAAAGGTGATTCAAAGAACTCTGAACTCTGGTCTGTTTATTTTAGAAACTGCGGCTCTATTGACATTTCCCAATACAACCATTTGTGGGGTGCACAGACCTTCTTAAAAAGGTAAAACATCCTGTTAGCAGCTGTTGTCTGGGTGAAACAGCTTTGTTCGTGTCAGAGGTGAGAGGAGAATGGCCAAGACTGCTTTAAGCTGATAGAAAGGCAACAGTAAGGTATTGCAAATAACCACCAGTTCAACCCGATATCATGGCAAAAAATATAATAGACACTCTGGCCCACTCTTTGCATTTTATGCTTTGCCTCTCCAAACTGAAAGGAATATGCATGCAGGAGTTGCATTACCAGCAGGGGGAGATTTATTTATTTAAGTCGGTAGTGACCACAAAAAACGTATAAAGTACATTTCAAGGTCCTTAGTAATCAGAAACAATTAAACTAGGTTGCTAATATGTATATACATATAAATGTGTAAATATCTCTTTAAAACGCTTTCCTGTGATTATTTTCATGTTGAATTTCAATAAAATATCTCCCTCTACTGTTGTTGTAGATGTTTGCAAGTTACTAAAACTTCTGCATGTATGTCCATTTCAGCTTTTGGAGAGGCAAAGCGTGACGTGGCCTTGTATCAGTGTTTCAGGCTGCTCTTTGAGTGCCAGAAAATAAAACATTTACTTGTACTTGTTGGGTTCTTTTATAAGAGAAGACATTCCAAACTCAAACTACGACTTTATCTTTTCTTTATTCAAGCAATCAGAGGATGCTGCCGTGTACCTCTGCTTCGCTTAGGAGACCTAAACAAACAAAGAGCACCACACCCACAAAGCTTTTATAATGTGTGATAAATAGTTGGAGGAAAGCCGCAGTTGTCCTTATTTGGCTGGAATCCAACACTTTGCCTCACATTTCTTCTGCAGGTTCCTGGGCATCTCCTTATGTGGAGACCCACTTCACCCATCACCATGGCAACGACCTCCTGTCAGACCTGCATAAAGAGAGAGAGTGTAAAATTATGATATTATTTTATGCCATGTTATACCCCTAATTAAAGATTGTGAATTATTATGTAGTTTTAGTTTGCATCATTCTCCTGAATTAGAAGAAGCTGATAACTATTGCATTAGTTAAACTGATTTGCATTACATTAAATTGCTGACTTGTTGTGAATGAAT